ATGATTAATTCTTCGGTACTAAAGAACACAAGAAGTAATGAAGCAAACGTGTTTTAATTGCGTGATTAACACAGAGCGTGCGATTACACAATAGGCTTACAGCACAATCTTTCGCGACAAAATATAAAAAAGGCATGGGCTTTTCTTGCATTTGCATAGTTCTTATGAAGGTACAAGAAGAGATAATCTGCTGCAAAATTAAATAATAAATATACCATCTTCAAATTCAGTCATAGCGGCAATTGCTGAGCAACTAACAGTTTCCAACGGAGCCAATAAATGTATACACATTGTATCAGCAGTTGTTCATGCTCGCTAATGCAACAGCAATTGTCACAGCATTCTCTATCTTAATTTAATAATACATTTATGTATGTACCATAGCATAATTTCTTTGATGATAACAAACATGATAATAACAATAATAATAATAATAATAATAATAATAGACATGTAATAATAAACATAATAATAATAATAATAATAATAATAACAACAACAAGCATAATAACAACAACAATAAACATAGTTTAATTTAATAAACATAATGATGATGATGGTGATAATAATAATAGTAATAATAATAATGATAATGATAGAATCTAATAATGATAACAATAATAATAATAATAATACTAATAATAATAATACTAATAATAATAATGATGGAATCTAATAATAACAACAACAACAACAGCAACAACAACAATAATAATAATAATAATAATAATAATAATAATAATAATAATAATAATAATAATAATAATAATAATTATAATAATAACCATAGTTATTGTTATTTTCAAAAAAATATAATAATGATAATGTTGTTACAATATACAATGTACATAGTCCCAAATGTGATTCTTTTGACTCTTTCCCTTCTCATTTTCTCTACTTCTCTTCCCACTCCCCCTCTCTACAATTTTACTAACATTATATGGATGAAGACATGAAGAAAACTCGAAACATGCCAATGCTAAAAGACGAGACTTTAACTGTTTTTTTAAAATATTGCCAGAAAATGCAAGTCTCATACATACATACATGCATACATCCATCCAAGTTATATAGTCATGGGTTTTTTTTTCGTGATAGGGTCCTTTGATGAATTTGAAATTCACAGGTAGATCTAGTTTAAATAGAATCGTTTTATCACTGAACGACCTGAATTTTCTTGCTAATACATACATTAGAATGACGTTTGAGAGATAGGCTTGTGGGATATTATTTAAACTAATAAAATAATAGAAAACATAAACTTTGTACACAGTACAGTGGCCAGTGTAGCTGAGCTCTATTTGTACTGGGTGCGGTTGGTTCTTTAATTCTTCTTAATCCTAACGTACGTCGTGTTTTACCATCCTATCCATACGACGTGGGAACTCTGTGCCACCACTTTCAAAGAGGAAATTTACTCCTTTATCCGATCGGTGCGCTTTGCATAGCAGTCACTCAGAATGATTTTTTTTTTAGAAATACCGAAAGTTTCAAAGAGATCTTCGAACTAGACGTATTCTAAAATGTGAAGAATACAACCCGGGGGTACAAAATGACCCCACGGCGTACGGATAGGGTTAAAAATGAATCTAACCACATTTTTGTTTTGCCTTTTGAAAGGCGATAGAGTGATTCTTTCGCAATGCCAGCATGAGGATAATTGCAATAATTTAATATTTCGAAAGGAAAAGTGATGTTACAAAGAACTAAAAAATTAGAATGGAATCTAAAGGATTGATCAAATTTTGAAATAGAGCTATGATAGAAAATACCGACCCTCCCCCTTTTTACCTTTAATTAATAATGCTAAGAAATAATCAAAACATTCAACACAATTGAGGGCTCACTGCACATTAGAACTAGGGACGAAATGGAGAAGGCGGACAAAGTCGAATAGAAAGGAGCGAAGCTTTGACTTGTGAAATAAGGAAAACATAGAATAAAGCAAAAAGAACTACATGGTTAAATGCTCATTATCAAGGTAAAGAAAAGAATCAAAAACAAAGGTAACAAATACATGTATGCATACATTCTAAAGTCGAAGAAGTGGGTAGATAAATGTTTAACTACAGCTTACAAAAGTCCCCCCCCCAAAAAAAAAAAAAAAAAAAAAGTAAAAAAAAAAACCCAAACAACCTAGGTGAAATTATTAGCTTGCTGGGAAAAAGGAATGTTCTAAACAAATTGCCAGAATACATAGAAAAACTGTTTAAGATGAACGAAGAGAAAAAAGGACAACTAATTTTGTCATTTGAAGTACAAGCTGCCATTAAGGAAATACAAAAAGGAAACGTTTAGTTAAACGAAAGTACTGAAACAACAAAGAAAAAACAAAACGTCTCGACTTCAGTCTATGGTAGTGCTCAGGTTCAAGGGGATTTGATAGCCAGTATGTCGGTTTTTATTGCTTTTCCTGAATTGCTGGGTGGGTGCGCTACATAGAACAGTACGTCACATGAGACATTTTGTCCAATCTAGGGAAGATAGAAACATCTTGAATACAACAAAATAAGCGGTGATGTGTGAAAGTGTGAGTGTGTGGGTGAGCGTTCGTTCGTGCGTGTGTGTGTGT